ACAGTACCTGGCCCAGTTCTCTCTGACTTCAAGCTCTTGAATTTCTTCTCCGTGCTATAGTCACACTGGCTCCCCTGCCCACCCTCCACCCCCTGCTTCTTTGCAAGCATAGAAATTTGTCTGTGCTCAGAGGATGTTTTTTTTCTTGCTGTTGTCTTACCAAGAACACTCTTTTCTCTAATCTTAAGATTTTTGGCCTTCTACTACAGGTTTGTGGCTCTGTTCAAATATCTCCCAGATAGGTCTCCTCTAAGACCTGTCTCAGAGAGGTCTTCCTGAACCGTTTTATCTAAAATAGTACATATCACTGCCTAACATTCTGGTATATGTATTTTAGTTTATTTGTTATCTCTTCATTAGAGGACTCCCAATGAATTCATTAAACTTTCACATTCAAATGTAAGGTCAAAGAGGACATGGATTTTTTTCTGACTGCTATGTCCCAGAACAGTGCCTGATACATAGTAGGCATTCAATAAAGTCATTTTTTTTTTTTTTTTAAATAATGAACAAATGAGTGACAGGCAGACCTGCAAGGAAAGTGGTGCATGGACAAGAAATCTTTATATCTGGATTCAATCTGGACTAACTTTTCTAGCTGTGAATGTCGGACTGCCATCTCCAGACAGCAAATACCATGCACTGTCCTGAAGTCCAGCATCTATAAGCATGTCTTACGATCACATGTGCTAATACCCATGAAAGTGCTTGGAAAATATAATACTGAGCAAGGAGCCAGTTGCTCTTGGGCAAAGAATCAGCCTAACGCATGCAGGTGTAAGACATTTATGCTTCACCCAACATAAAATAAAGCAGAGTCAAAAGTTCTTTGAGAGAAATTGGGTCTGAATGTTCCAATTAAGAAAATCATATAAGGAAAATGTTCATTTCACAGGTCATTTATCATAGATCTTAAAATAGGAAGGGAGTTAAGAAATAAGTCTGGTCTCCTGCCTTCAGAAAGAAAACGCGTTGTTAGTGGTTACAAGGGCCATACGGGAGTCAGACTGGCTGCCTTTGACTCCAGTCCTGTCTAGCTGTGAGACCTTGGGTAAGTCACTTAACCTCTTCGTGACTCAGTTTCCTCATCTAAAAGTTCAGATAATATATCTATTTGAAATACAATCCTGGGAGGATTATTTAAAAGAATGAATGGAAAACACTTTGAGCAGTGCCCATTCAATAAATATTAGCTATTATTATCTTCATTTTGCAATGAAGTGACTGAATTTTAGAGCATTTAAGGAACTTTTTAAAATTGCACAGCTAATACATGAAGGGGCAAGCTCTAGAAACCAGATCTTCTGCCTCTTGAAGTGCTGTGGCTACATTTTAGCATTTAAAAAAGATTGACGCAGTTAAGCACATGTAACACCTAAAACAGGCATTGGCTCTAAAACAACGTATTATTGCAATCATTCTTCTAAAGAAAAAAATACATATACATAGACATGTATGAAAAATCCTGAAAGAATGTACACCACAATGCAAACAGTTAGTGTATGGAAAGGGAGTTTGAGAGTCTGAACAGTTTTATTTCCTCCGTGTCTTGCCGTTTGTCCTGTTATTAGAATTCAGCAGGTATGGATTAGATAACCAGAAAAAATACCGTTTAAAGGCAAAGCAACAACAATAATAGCATCAGCAGCGACGCTGCTATATCTCTTAAATGTGCGATCGTATACAGCTTCATATCATTTACAGTGCTGTACACTTTCCAGACAATCCTGGTTTAGACTCTTGCTGAGCTGACACAGACCTTGTCCTTGGTTTGACCCCCATGCTGCACCTCGAATTCTGAGCTTGTCCGTTTGCACATGTCTAAGCACTATTTCTGTCCTGGGTACCTCATATGGTGGCACTTTAAAAATGTTTGATGAATGACGGAGCCCTGGGGATTCTGACTCATGAAATAAGATTCCTAAGGACCACCTCATTCCAAAGTCACTCAGATGAGTTACAGAATCTCATTCTCCACACTGGTGAATTGTTATGCATTTTGGTATTTTCTTTCTAACCATGACTTATGTTGTGCTTTCTTTTGCATTAGAACATTTATAAACCACATTTAGCATTTCTATTTCATATCCAAGTATTCCTTATCCAGATGATTTTTATAATCATCCTCTGGAAAATGTCCTAAGGGAATTTGACCCTACTACCCTTTAGGTTGATTTCATATCTGGAAGTAGTTTCCACGAACATTTTAATTCCCAGTTAAAATAGTTTATACTCTAACAATCAGGCTTTTCACAGAAAGTTTTGAGCCTGTTTCCTTAGCAGGTTTATAAATGAGAGTTTGAAAGGCAATGAGAAGTATGTGAACCACGGGATACCACCGTCCCTAACGCACCTCCACCTGCCGGCTCCTGCCGGCTTCTGTGAGCGTGGCTTCGGCTTCGGCTGCGGCAGAGGCGCACGTGGCCTGGTGTTCTTCACCCACAAACTCTAGATAAACAGATCTCTATCTTCAAAGTAGAAATGCTTCAAAGCGGGCATATGGAAGTTTTCACACGGTCAAATTGGGAGCGTAGAGATTGGTGGTGTTAAACAATGAACCATACAGAGAAAGAACCGGTGAGGGCTTCTGTAAACAGAGCAGTCGCTCAGCTCCTGCCCGCCAGCAGGCAGACGTCTGGCCTGCAAGAGGAGGTGGGCTGGCCGGCGGCACATTTGCAGTGGACAGCGGCAGCCTTCCTGGACCCCTACCCTCCACCTTCCTCTTTTGTTTGAGTATCCATCTCGCTAGGCAATTGTTAGTTTAAAATGTGAGAACATAGTGAGGGATATAAGACAACACGTAGCTTTAACTTTGGGAAAATTGCCTAGGATTGCTGCGCCTCAGTTATGAACATAATGGTAATGATAATAATGGAAAGAACAAGTAACATTTAGAGGGTTCAGTTTGTGTCGGGCCCTATTCTAAGCATTTGACGTGTACTAATTCCTTTTATAAAATGCTCCCCTCACACAGTTCGTTGTTAGGATTAAGGGAAATAACAGGCAAAGTTCTTAGCACAGGGTCTGACCAATAATATGAGTTTCCACAGAAGTTAGCTCTTTCATTGTTATTATAAATAATAATGATAATAAATACATCTTCCTCCACATAAAAGTCTAAGAGGCTTTAAACATTTTTGGCTAGATGAAGTCCCAAGGCTTTGTCATATCTCAGAATCACCCACAACCTGACTCCATGCCTGATACGTATTAGTGATTGGAAAATATTTATAAAAATAACAAATATCCTAAATTGTCTGGATGTTTTTGTAAGCAGATTTCTCAGGAAAGACAGTAGTATGTAGTTTTCTTCAGATTCTCAAAATATTTTATGGTCTAAGAAATAAAGGACCACTGCTTTGAAAATGAGTGTGTCACCATGTGGGTGATACAGTCCTAATGAGAACAAGTGGGCAGCAGGGAGGAAAACCCGAGTGTGCTGGCTGCCCACCATGAGGATCTGGAAAGCCTTGTGATGCCAGCCTCGGGGTTCGCGGTCCAGGATGGCTCCCTCTCCCCACTGGAACCTCCCCTTCGCCCTCTGGGGCCTTTGTCAGAAGCCTGTGGGGTTGCTGGCTGTTCATCTGGCCTTGAACGGATGATTCAATGTCAGATCACTTCCTTCTGGTTTTGTAGGAATGATAGGATATTAGCACAGGGAGAACCTCATCCGTAGTCTATTTCGGGGTTTTCAAATTTATAGCAGATGCCCCCCCCACCCACCCACCACGGAAGATATCTCTAATTGGGGACAGTGTTCTTTACATCTGCGTCCTCTAAATTATTCTTAATCTAGTACTGGGTGCAACCATTACCAGCTGATTCAAATTAGCATGTGTAAGAAAATCAGTTTGCCATCCATAACATATATCGAATATCCTTCTATTACAATTGGGAAAATCGAGGAGATGACATTAAGTGTGTCCATGGGTTAGACTTGAGCACTGTGGAGAGAGTGATATGAAAGCTTGGAGAGAGGGAGGGTTGTGACTACAAACTACAATCATGTAAGTACCAAATATCATCTCCTGTGCCTCTGCTCTTATTTTCCCCTAACCTTGCACAGAATAAAGAAGGACATACTTTTCAATGGTCATCTACTTTCTTACCACACACCAGTCTAGAGGCAACTAAAGGCAGAGTTCTGGGTGATGAAATTACAAATAGTTAAATATTATTCTATATGTTTTCTTTTTCTTTTAAACAACAAGATAGTCATCAAAAGGCTCAGGTCTCAGACCACGCCTCTCGTCTCTCAGCATCCTTGAAAAGAGCAGGGTGGGAAAGCCCTGTACTCAAATCTAAGAGCTGGGAGCAGATACAACTAGCTGAGGGTCAGTCATTTTCTGGGCCTCAGTTTCCCCTACTGTAATAGTAAGATATGCAATACTTCGTAGGAATAAAAAACTGGACTCCTTGTACATGGAAGAGAAAATAACGGCTCACTGCTGAAGAGTAGATTATGAATATTTATTTATTTCCTCTGTATATGTGAAAAGAAAGCACATTTAAGTGAGGATGAGAATTGGCCAGGGAAAGACATAAAATAAAGTGCATTTCCACTTTTTAAAACCATTAATTAAATAACATAGACCTGGCTTCAAATTACTAAACATCCTTGTAATTTCTATAACTTTGAATGGAACCCTCCCTCTGCATTATGAGGGCATATAAGGTATGAGCCCTGCCATAGCATTTTCCCATTGATTCTATGGGAAAAACTGGAGTTTTTAGGCAGACCAGAAGAGATTAAGTTCTGGCATGGCCTAAGATTTTTCTTTTTTCTTTTGAAGATTGTGAGGGTGGCCAGGGAAGGATTGCCAAATATGTAGTTCTCCCTCTGCCTTTAATATATACTCTAAGCAAACTGGCTCAAATCCCATCCTTCTATTTCCTTCTGCTTTGGCCCCTCTTTGCAACGTGCAAGTTACAGACAGAAATTAGAAAATAAGCCAGCATTATACGAGAACATATTTATTGTCTGAATAATAAAACTTGCTTAAGGAGTTATTAACATTTCCCCTACCTGAAGTACAAGTTTCCAATAAGCAAACAGAAGCAAAACCCCCAAAACGAAACAATATATTGGTAACCTCAATCATAGGCATTTGGGGGTGTGTTCAAACAATCAATCTCCTTCTTCGTCATGGACCATAGCACTAGTGACACGGACATACAATGAGAGACACAGCAAATCAACGTATCAACATGCGTGTACGGCCACCACCAAGCTTAGACTTCTTCAATGTGGTCTCTTTAATTTACACACACCCACAGAGGCATTCAGACGTCTCCCTGCAAAGGATGATTTGCATATAGTTTCTAGCCAATACTCTTACCAAGAAAAAACATAAACAAATAAAAACCCAAACCCCCAACAGAACCTTAGAGACAATGGTAATAAATAAGAGAGAAAAGGTGAAGAAGAAACAGGCAACTTCCATCTGCCAACAGGCATGCAGAGCGGTGCCTGTTCCCTCATCTGAAAAACAGGCCGTTTGACAGCTTTCGGAGCCCAGGAGAAGGCTGAAAGCAGAAAGGGGCTATGCACTCTGCTTTCTGGGTATTTGCACCAAATCTCCAGGATGGAGAAGCTAAACACTGTGTCATTTGGGTCCTTTTACATTGTGGCTGAAACAGGTGTCTCTGCAGAATTATCAAGCCTGCATGGCTTGAAACTGTTCTTTTCAGGTGACACATCAATGGCAGTCACATAAATAGTGTACAAAAACAAAACCACTTAAATCCCACTTCTTTCCTTTTAAAGATGATTTCAGATCATTCTCCAAGTGCAAATCTGGATCTAAAAAATAATAAGTATAAAGGAAACGTTAGCCCTGTCTTCTGTCCCCCACCCTCCACAGCAGGGCAGACTCCATCCCCTCTCCTGGCTGGGTGCCCCATCACCTACACTTTAAGATAGTCGTTTTTCAGCCGACCTAGCCGGGTCCCGTGGCTCCTGATGGTGAGGGCCAGTAGCTCGTATCTGTCCCTGAGCCCCACAGAGATGTCCAGAGTTTCCTTCAGCAGGGACTTGGTGTGGACCAGCATCCCCAAGAAGTCCTCGTTGAGCCTGCTCTCCTGCCGGCTGTCCTGTTCCTGGCCCTGCTTGAACTTGCTTTCCAGCTCCGTGAGGGACTTGTCCGAGTTGGAGTAGGCATCCCCGATCTGGTGGGACTCCCGGCGCAAGTACTTTCCGTAGCTCTCTTCCCCGTCCAGGTCGTAGGAGATGCTCTTACTGATGCCCTCCAGGACCCGCCCGGCGTCCTCCACCTGGCGGCCCAGCACCGTGAATTGCTCCCGCAGGGTGAGGCTCAGCAGTCGGCTGGCCTGGCTCCCCTCCCCTTGGGAGCAGCGCCGGTGGTCACTCACCCTGAAGAGCAGCTGGCACTTCTCGGGGTCATCGTTCTCCTCATAGTCCCCGTCGGGCACGAAGTAGTGGTGCAGCGTCCCATTGGACATCTCCGGATAGAGAGGGCCATCGAAGTAGCCCTGACACAGGTGGCAGAGGAAACCCATCCAGAGGAGCTTCAGGAACACCATCTTGTATAGTCAGGATGACAGGGGACCCCTGGAGAAGACTTTTCACCCAGGCACGAGGAAGGGGGTCCCCTCGGGAGTCAGCGCTTCCCCGAGAGGGCGGCAGCCTCAGTCCCAGCCGGCTTGCTGCACCCTGGCCCGCCCTCCCCAGCGGGCTTCATGTGGCTGTGGCACCAGCGCCTGGGCAGCAGGGGCAGCAGCGCAGGGTGCACGAGGTCCTGCGCTCCTGCGCTCCTGCGGCGGCTGGGAGTCAGCAGGCTCTGTCCCGCGGATCCGGGGCTCTGGCAGGACACTGACTGTGTGGCCGGAGCTCGCTCTCCGAGTCTCCCCTAGCTGCTGGGAGATGGAGCCTGTAGCTGGAGAGAAAGGCTGGCTCTTGCCCTCTGGTACTATTTCAAGTCCTGGACTGGGTGGGAATGCGGAGCTTTTCCTTTGGCTAATGATATCCTGAGGATCTCTCTGCTCTCAAATTACAGCTGGTTTCGTCACTTGGAAGCCAGGGAACAAGTTTGGAAAGAAAACTTTAACCAGGTTTCTGTTATTAAAGGTACAGGGTCTCTTTTTAAAGATTGGAAGGGAGTCCCTCAAAAACTGAATTTGGCTTGCAGGAAAAAATGGGTAAAGGATGATTAGAATACCTACAACAGAAAGACTGCCTTGCTATTAACATATTGGGAGGAAGAAGGGTGATTACCCTGGAGAAGTGATGTTTCACAGTTTCAATAGGTATCAGTTAGATTGGTTTCGATGAGTATGTTTATCATTAAAATGCCTGTGAGTCTGAAGGCAGATTTGAAGTAAGAGAAAGTAACAGTTTGATTTGAAACGGGTTAATTAAAATTTGCAATAACAATACTTTGGATGCAATAGGAAATAGAAAACTGATCAGTGCATGTTTGCAAGTGCATTTAAGAATAAAAGCTGAAATGGAATTTTGCCAGTTTAATAAGTAAATGGACAGCTGTGATAATTGTTTGATTTTATGGAAATCCATTTATTCTAAGCTCCTGCATTGTATCTTTGGCTTGACACCTTTACAGTTATCACCTCCTTTAGGTTACTTAAAAGTGTTTGAAGAATATAGGGCTGGTACCATTTTTCCGTTTTCCAGATGGAGAAAAAAAAGGAACATTATATTAAGCAAATTATTTATAGTCACAAAGTTACATTGTAGTTAAGATTGTAGTTGAGCCACCACTCATTAAGTCACAGGGTTTTTTAATTTAAGAGAAAAAAGTCTTTTTTTAAACCTGGCCACTATAGTTTCTGATTTATTAATTGATTAGCAAATCACCATCCTTTAGGCCATCTCATTTTTCACAAATGTTTGTTGAGCATTTACTGTATACCACAGTCTATTAAAATATTACGAATAGAACAATGAAAGAAAAAAATGGAGAAAAACCCTTTCCCTCCTGGAGCTTGTATTCTGGGAAAAGGAGAGAGAATCCAAATAAGATACATTGTATGTTGGGCAGCAGTGGGGTTGTTGAGAAAGGGAAGGGATGGGAAACCAAGAGGCAGCATTCCTATTTCCATGGTTATTTCCTCTTTCTGACTTGAAATATAACTGAAACACTCATATGATTAGCCTGTGTTTATACTTATCTCCCTCTCCAAGTCATGGGGCACTGGTATCATTCAGAACCACAGGGTCATACAGTTTTGGGGACTGTTACATTATTGCCATCACTTTCACCGACATGAAGCCAGACTCGGAGAGACATGAACATTCTGGCTAAGTAATTAGACATTTCGTTAATGTGGTGTCCCATGCGTAGATTTTTGAGACATGTTGACTGCACATTTTTTTCATTGTTAAGCAATTTATTTCCAAACAACATATAATATGTTTTATGTGTATTTTTATATCTATTTTACAGGTATTATCCTCATTTTGCAGACGAATAAACTATAACATAGCTAGTACATTGTAGGGTTTCAGACCCAGGTAGTTTGACTTCTGATTCCATGTTCATAATTATTGCACGAGATTGAACCAAATTAATTCTTAGCCGTGTGGTGGTCTACATCCTTTCCGAGCACCTGAAACTAACGTATATGTCTTCTTTGTCTCAAAATAAAGAGCATATTAAAAAATATGGAACACTTCACAAATTTACATGTCATTTTGGCACAGGAGCCAAGTTAATCTCTGCATCATTCCAATTTTAGTACATGTGCTGCTGAAGTGAGCATCTGAGTGCACATTGTAATTCTTGTCCACATATTTGGCATCATGAAAATATAGACCAAAGGGGTTTTCCTAGCATTGATGCTCACTGAAAGGCTATGGCTTACTTTCACTCTACAGGTTTGCCCCATTATCCGAAAGTACAGTGTTCCTATGAAACCTTTCGTAAACCAAAATGGTATAAAGCAATTATCATTAATTTATACAGGAAAAAGTTGGGAGTGTTCCCAGACCCCAAAATAACCATACCTAATAACACTAACAAATAGTAAAACTTAAAGTAACACTAGCATGTAGTGAGAGCAGGAATGATATGCTACACAGCTTATGCAAAGTAGGAATAATGTATGGACAGTGTAGTTTTTTTTATCCTCCCCCAAGGACATTTCTCCACTTTTGTTCAGATAGAGTGGGAGGGAGAGAGAGGAAGAGAGAGAGAGAGAGAAACATCGACGTGAAAAGGACACATCAAGTGGCTGCCTCCTGCACGACCCCAACCAGGGGCCAGGATGAATCACAACCGAGGTATGTGCCCTTGATCTGAATCGAACCCGCGACTCATTCATTGGTCTGCAGGTCCACGCTCTAACTGCTGAGCCAAACTGGCTAGGGCAGGACAGTGCAGTTGTACTTCCCCGTGCGCACTGCCTCTCTAACTGGCTTGCTGCAGAACAAACACTGAGCCTCATTTTTACTTTTTTTTTTTTGGAAAGGCAAAAATATTCTTTGGATTTCTTTGAGTCAGAGGAAACAAGTGCCGATGCAAATCTTTTGTAAAAGTGAAGTGGTGCGAGGTGAACTTTCGAAAAGCAGGGCATACCCATATTCTAGCAGAAAACTACAACCTCCTCAGGTTGAGAAACGGGTCCTTTGGACTCAAGAACCACACTGCTTCATTCCTGTTCCCTGGGGCGTTCACAGATGACAACAGATGGATTCAATCAGCTGCTGGGCAAAGAGGGGAAGAGGACTTCGCTCTGATTCACTCCCCTTCCTGTAAATCCCTCCCTGACTTACTAACCAATTCTATCACACACACCTGTATTAAGCACTTACTAATACTTGTCCCCCACTACGTACAGGGCACAGTGTTAAGTTAGCTACAGATACAAAGGTGTGCAATAAAACATTTCAGCCTCCAGAGAGCTTACTCTCTGGTTGGATATGTGTGTATATACACACACATACTTAGAAAAAGAATGGCTACTTTTTCCTGTAGCTACCTCATCTAAAGATATGGACCCCATGTTTTATATATGAGGAAAGAATCAATTTGGTGCGAGCAACTGAAAGTCCAATGCAGTCAGATTAAAGGCAAAAGGAATTCACTGACTGATACAAAATCTATGAGTAGATTTTCAGCCTCCATCTGGTCTAGAATCTAGTTTTTCTGTCACCATTTTTGGTTCTACTTCCTCAGCTTATGTTCATTCTTGGAGAGTTACTTCATTTATGTTTCTGAGATGGTTATCAGTGTCCTTGGGGACAACAAACTTGCTTGTTCATGTCTAGCAGGAATGACAGGTTAGATTTCCTGGTAGCTCAAATGCAGGCCCTCCAAATGAGCCTTGGTGACCGCAGTTAGCCTGATATTGATCATTAATCCATCCTTGAATCAGGCTGATTGTAGTCAGAGGTTTGGGATAAGCCAATGGGCTTAAGACAATAAGGGTCCCATTCTGTAGCTGAAGGCAAGGTACCATGTAAACTATGTGGCTGGGATATCCAGGGTCCTGTTTGGGAAGGGGACAGTATGAGAATAGAGTCTGTGGAAGGAGCTACAAATATCCCCTTTACACCATGCCTTTGTCTTCATTAACCACTTCTGGAAGACACTGGCACCCTTTTGTCATGGGTGCCAGTAAGTATTTAACAGCTGACTCTAGGAGAAAAGCTCCCTCTGTAGTACTTGCTGATTTCTATGATGTAAATGCTCCCACACAGCTGATGTCACTGAATGCGGAGTTGGGGACATGAGCCATGGCATGCCAGTGTAGAACATGCCCTCATATAGACACATTAGATGCTGATGACTCCAAAAAGCATTGAGAATAGTAAAATGCAGTAAAAGAAAGAAGTGATGAGTTTTACATATACATTCTCTTTACTTAATAACTTAATTGTTAATAATGACTATCTTTAACAACTGACTTGCAAAATTCCCGAAAACCTCACAATTGGCTCTCATGACAAGGTGCTAGTAGGCACCAGCATGATACAGCCTTTTGCACTAAACACTTCATCCTGTTCACTTTTAAAAAGCATTGATGTGTAGAGTCTTCATATCTGCCCGGTTTCACCTTGGACTGGTCTACTGGGGTCAACGTGAAGGTGGGTTTCTGAAGATCCTGCTAAAATAAACGGAGCCGGAGGAAATAGTCCAGCACGGACATACCAGGGGGCTTTGAAGAATAAGTAGAAGCAGCAGCATCTGCTGATAGAAACAACAGCTGAGTCTGGGGCTGAAAACTAGAGACCAAGTCAAAGGGCTGGAACTGGGTAAATTTAAGAACAAAGGGAAACGTCAGGCGCTGTGCTCAGAGTCATGTAAAGTAGGTGAGCTCGGTCCCCTGTCGCAGCTGCTCACGGCAGCCCTTGCTATGCAGCGCTAGCTTCAGACGTGCTCATCCTTGATTCTTCTCAGTGCCCTTTAAAATCTCGTTCCTTTGGTCCAGTTACCACTTTAGAAAGGGAAGCAGGGCCCTGGCCAGTTTGCTCAGTGGTTAGAGCATCGGCTTGTGGTCCAGAGAGACCCGGGTTCGGTTCCCGCTAAGGGCACGTACCTCGGTTGCAGCCACTCAATGTGTCCCTTTCACATCAATGTCTCTCTCCCTCCCTCCCACTCTATCTGAACAAAAAATGGAAAAATGTCCTCAGGTGAAGATAAAAAAAGAAAGAAAGGGAAGCCGGAATATAGGCTGCCACCATGAGCCTACAGGCCTGGACGATGTCTTAAGCTCTGTGATTTTTCTCTTGACAAAGGTTTTTGTGCTCCCCTGGCTGTTTCTGATTATGGTAACAGTAGAAGTTTTCTAGAAAAGGGGCTTGTATGCACTAAGTGTAAAGAGGATTGGGGAGGTGCGGCCCCACTGCCCAGTCTAGAAACCCAAAAAGGGCCTCTGGGGAATGGAAGCCCTTACTCCTATCATCCCCTGAAGCTGTCAGACCGAATCCCTGGACCATGTCAAGGAAGAAAAAAGAACAAAAGGAGTTAGCCTGCACCAGAGTAGGGATATGGGGAGGAGAGGAGAGGGAAAGAAGCAGAGTGGGGAAGATGAGGAGAAGGACAGCATTTTGCACGTTGGGGTTATTTTATCACTGAACAGCTGATCAGCGGCATTTTCTGAGCAGCCATTGTTTAAAGAGGGTGGGAAGGAAAGAGGAAGAGAAATGGATGAGAAGGAAGGGAAAGAGAAAAGGTGGGCAGGAAGGTAGCAAGTAAGAAAAGAAAGATGGAAGGAAGAAAAAGGAGAGCGTGGAATACATTTTGATGATCTAGCCTGCTATTTATTTTCTTATTTTTTATTTTATATTTTATTGTTGACATTATGACAGATGTCCCCCTTCCCCCTCCCCCCATTTGCTCTCCTCCACCCAGCCCCTGCCCCCACCCCTGGCCGTCACCACCCTGTTGTCTGTGTCCATGGGCTATGCATATATGTCCTTTGGCCAATCTCTCCACCTACTTTTTTCCAGTCCCCCCCCACCCCCCTCTGAGATTTGTCAGTCTGTTCCATGTTTCCATGACTCTGATTCTATGTTGTCAGATTATTTGGTTCATTAGATTCCACAGGTTGGTGAAATCATATCTACTGTGCTAATTATCTGTCACATTAACTCAGTGAAGTAGTTATTATTATTTGCTATAAGAATATTAACTAGCGGCAGAGGAGAATTAATTAACAAGAGCAATTACAAATTTTCCATTAGATATAGGCAATAAAACACACCTGTGAAAACACAATTAGAACGCTTACAAGGAAATAAGTACAAGTGGGAAGTATCTGCTCAGTTCTCCTGATCTTTCTGTCAGTCAGAATAAGCGTGATACACCGGTAACAAACATCACTAAAACATTAGCACCAAACTCAAGTCTACTGCGAGCCACGGCGACCCGGGAACTCGCCTCTACACCTTCACCGTAATGTCATTTCCTCCCAGTCTTAGCTTTAATGTCATTTCTTCTAAAACCCCCTCCTGACTTCTGGATTTTAATGAGTTCTCCCTATCATTCAGTTTTATACCACCTTCCGGTCTTTTCCTCATGCCACTTGAAATACTACTATTTCTAATTGCACTTTAATTTAGGTATTTATTTGTTCTAGGTTTGTCTGTACAGCGTGACTTGTACTACATGAAGATAGAAGCTGTGCTCACTTCTACCCCCGCTGCCTTGATCAAAGGAGGCACTTAATGAGTATATGTCGGCACGCTAGCTTAAGTTGGCCACTTCCTATGTAAGTGTTTCGAAAAGTTGTTTTCGTAGTTAATGGTATACACACACACACACACACACACACACACATATATATATATATATATATATATTTTTTATAATGTGTACTGCATTTTATTGGGTTATCTGTTAACCTGGGATATCCCCACATGACTGTGAGTTCAAGGGTAGGGATGTGTTTTATTTACCTTTGTATTTTTTGTGAATAGCACAGAGCCAAGCTGATAGCCAAATATGTGTTAGTTGTTGTGATAACCAAACTGTAGAATTTAAGGAATTCTACTATTTAATGATGGTCAGATAATCAGTACATGTTTTGTCTGGCCAAGTCAGCCAGCGATGTCTCACACTTAATCTGGATGATCCCGGCAGCGGAGAAGGGAAAGAGCCCTGTGGATTCCATTATTCAGAACATCCAGAAGGGAGCATCGCTCAGAAGGCTGACCTTTGACCCATCCTAAGTAAACTGTGCAGCAGTCTGTACATACAGCCCTACCATGTTCTGGTCTGTGAACTGCAGAAGCATCAGACCACCCTGCAGGACAATTT